ATTATTTTTTTTTTATTTTTATTAGGTGCGTTTCACTAAGATGTATATACGCTTTAAATTTCAGATTATTTCAATTTGTAAAAAAAAATGAAAAATTAAACACTATCAAACAATCGTGATCGTACGATAAACTTTAAACGGTGATGATGATAGAAAAAATCACTGTTCATTTTCACTTATAGGCATTGGGAAGACTTTTCCATATATATATATATATATATATATTCAACCACCCAACCACCTAAGCAGCAGGAAGGTCAAAATGCATAGGTGCCTTAGGCATCTTGCGTCTAGAAGCTTGCCTTAAGGTGGGCGCCTAGAACCTTGCACCTCGAGGTAGGCTGGCCGAGGGTGGAAATAGGCCCTTGACTAGGGGTCTTTTGGGTATTTCTTCCCCTAAAAAGGGAGAAAAGGATTTTGAGGGGCATTTTAAACCCCAAAACCCCTAGTGTATTTTAAAGAGAGAAAAACTCTCCAAAAACTTAGATTTTCAGATTTTTCACAAGATTTCAACATTTTTTGTTTCGTGCAAAATCAAAAGATACACTTCCCGATACTTTTGGTCCTTTGAATGGTCACAAAAGAGAACTTTTAGCAACCAAAGGACATTGATTTGGGCCTATATCAATTTCATTTTGAAAAGGTTAGTATATTACAATATTTGAATAAGGGTTTGGTATTTTTCTTGTATAATGTGTTATGATTGATATTTTTTTTGTATAATGTGTTATGATTGACGTTTTTTTTTTTTTCCTTACTTTTTGGTGATATTTCTACATATTTGTAGTTGAAATATTTTGTGAATATGTATTGAAATTTATTTTGAAAATCTTAGCAAATTATAATATTTGATTTAGGGTTTGATATTTTTTCATATAATGTGTTATGATCTTTTATTTTTTATTTTCCTTTATTTCAAGCTCCAAAAAGAAAAACTGCCCTAAGAACTCCCTAGGGGCCCTAAACCCCTGCCCTAATAACTCCTCAAGAGCCTAGCCCATCCTTGTTCATGGATGCCCACACATACACACCATTCGATTATGATTCAAAACCCTTAAATTTCATCAATAATCATTACCTATTAAAGATGAAATTAACAAAATGGCGGATCAAATTAGGGTTCTTCGAGCAGCTTGAACACAAGTTCTTCGAGCAAATTTTCTAGCCAAAATCAACCCCTTATATTTTGTTTGTTGAACAAATTGAAACATGTATATGGTAACCAATTCGATTATGATTCAAAAATCTCAAATTTAATCAATAATCATTTCCTATTGAAGAAGAAATTGATGAAATGGTACAAATTTCAAAAGGTTAGAAAATCTGCCACTTCAATCCACAAGAACTATTGGTTTTTTAATCTTTGATTCGAATTTTGTTGTTCTATAGACAATAAATAATGGTTTACTACGCTAAAGCACCAAAAAGGCCAAAAAATTGACAAGGAAATCGAATAAAAAAAATTGAAATTTTGGTTCACAGGTCTTGCTGCAAATAACGGGCTCCATTTCAAAAAATGGCAGTTATTTCGATTTTGCCCATTTTTTTTCCAAACAAATGCTGTTTTAACATAAAATCGGTCCGGCTACATCAAAAACGGCCGATTAGATATAAATACAGCTGGTTCGACCCCTAACAGCCAGCTTTGGATCCGATATTTTTATGACAGATGGATCTAAGTACTAGTACCCCAAAACCAGCCCTAACCGCAGTCGAAACCAGGTGGTTCCGATCTAACCGACCGGTTCCATTCAAACCGACCGGTTTTGCAAACAGTGGTTTTTGCCTCTCTGCATGCACCAAGAAGACGATAAATTGAGTAATTAATCACTGCATAATGAACTGACAAAACGTATCCGACTAACTTATGAAGCCATAAAGGACATTAAACAATGAAGTTTTGATCCTTATAATCAAAGGATGTCAATTTTTGCAACTTCGGTCATATGATTTTAATGTAAAATTTTCTTAGGATTATTTTAAAATCTATTTTTATATCTAATTATAAAATATAAAATTTTAAAAATGGTTAAAATCAAGTAGATCTATAAACCTAAAAAAAATCTTGAAAATAGACGGTGTAGATAATATGTTATAAAATGCACTATTTTTATATAATCAAACAAAATTTCGTCATATTCTGACAAGTTTTGATATAATCAAGATGAAACTCGGTTCTCAAATCTATTTCCTAACATGCTGACAATATAACCTATAACTACAATATTTTCTGGGTCTCAAAACAATACCAGACCATTAATGTCAAAAACCCCCTAGGTATCAAATTTTGGCTCAATTGAGTCCTCGAGGCCATTATGGGCCTAATTTACCTTAAATAGGTGGGTTTTACAATATTGCACTGATAGGTATACACTATAAACCTGTAAGAGCACACATTACTAATTTTTTCTTTTTAGAGTTAGAGATAACTAAGTACTAAGATTGATATTATATTTTAAATATATTACACATTATTTATTATATATTCTTATATGAAATTGCATTAAAGAATAAAAAACTATAAATAATTACGAACTAATCTGTTGCAAAAAAAAAAAAAAAGTACAATATATGTGCCCTCAGGTAAAATCAAACTAAAGTATTTTTCAGGACTCGTAATTTTAGGTATGCCGAATGATAACTTAAAATCTTTTTATTTTTCATGTTCATACATCTCGATGTCGAGATAATCAATGGAAGGGTTTTTTAACATTAAAACTACCTTTTTCGATGGATTTTTTAGGTGCATCCGTAGTTCTACATTAATATATAT